GTCGGGTTCCGCTGCCTTCTCTTTCTTTAGTTAGTGAATGCAGCCTCTTACTGCTAGTTCTGTTGGGGTCACATATGTTACCGCCCAAGGAATTTCGGCTGCATTCACCGGAATAACCAAGCTAGATCCAGGCCAGTTGAACTGTTTACTAAAATGCTCTGGCCAGGGGTCGAGCTGTTCTTCTTTTTTGTAGATACTCTGTTCACTTTTATCGCTAACGGTTCCGCTGACTGGTACGCATCGACCTCCGGTACTGCGTATCAGGTGAAATGGTCTTTGGCTAGTCCCTGATACAGAGGTTACTTCCATTTCTCCAGCTATTTTAGCCCATCAGTTTTTGTGATCTTTCCTAAGGCTTCTTCTGAGCTGACGTTGCAGAAGCTACTGGTTCCCACGTTGATCATAGCAGATTGTGATCTTTCGCATTTGTTCCATCACGACTCCCGATAGAGCTATTGTCTTCGACGAACTGCCGACTCAGATCTACAAGCAAAATTTGCGGCCGAATGCATGGCACATCTAATTTGACCCCACTGTTGGTCTGCTGCTGCACGTCGTGGTGTTCCTAGCCCCTGTCTAGGCTTTTTCCTCATAACTTTCTCTCTCTCTAACGTCATCCCTAGCCCAATGTCCTGCGTAATCTGGTTGGTGGGACCGACTACAGACTGGGGGTTGTTCATGGTGTCCCAAAGTACGAAGAGATCATTCGCAAACTGGAGGTCAGCAATCCATGTACCTAGGCCCAGCTGAACTTTGGGGTGGTCGACAAGTGTTTATCGCATTGACCAATCTACGGTGTAGTTGAATAACAGTGGTTATAGGGGAAAACCTGGCCTGACTCCAGAGCTCAGTACGAACTTAGCTGATTCTTCTTCATAGGTACTGACAGGTTCCCCGGTCCTTGTGTAGTACAACTTTAAAAGCCTGACGAACTTCTCGAGCATCCACTGGGGCTGAAGTATGCACCACAAAGATTCTTCATCAGCAAAGTCAAAGGCAGCATGGAAGTCGATGAAACGTGTTGTGGTAGTTTGTTGGAGCGGTGTTCCAGAATCCTACTGAGAGTGAGGAGTAGTCCAATACAGTCTCTTCCGCGGCGAAACGTGAATTGGTTCGGGCGGGTGCGGGTCTCTGACGACTGCGAGGCGATTAAGCAGTATCACTGCAAACAATTTGTCCGCAATATCAATGAGACTGATAATCCTATAATTATCGCATCTTGATCTGCCGCTTTTTTAAAATAGGAACTAAAATTGAAGTTGTCCAGTCTTTTGCAAATACTTCTGTTTTCAAAATAATGGGAAGAATCGAAGAAACTTGGTAGGCAAGCTTCGGATAGCTCTGGTAGCATCCTATCTTCTCCAGAGACCTTCCTGCTTTTCTGAGAAGTGACCGAATTGGCGATTTCCGTCCTACTAGGTGGATCACAATTGATGTCGTAGTTCTCAGTACTGCTTGAAGTCTGTGGACAGCCAGATTGATTTGATGGGCGTTTGAATAGCCCAGCGAAGTGCTTGACCAACCTTTGCATGTTTTTCTCATTTATTTGCTTAAGTTGGCCCGTGGTGTCACGTAACAGTGGCTTCGATGTCGGTCTCTTTCCCGCTAAGACACGAATTAGAAGAAATAGCTTTCCAAAGTCCGTTATTATGGTTGCAGCTTCCATGCTGTCTGCTGTCACCCTCCAGTATTATTTATGATTCCTCTTGGTGGTGAGTGTGGCTTAGTGACGTAGATTACGGAATTCAGGAGAATTGATTAGCCGCGCATCTCTTGCCTTCGAGGACAACTGCAGTGTACGCACGGAGATCTAGTAGCTTTTGTGACGAACAGTCTTACCTAGCTGTCCCAGAGCCGCTTTTCTGATGGACGTTTTCAATGCGGACAGTTGAATCCTCCAGAGAAGTTGCGGCCATGTTGGAGGCCGTTGCGTCCAGCAGCGACTGCCTTTTCTCAGGTAGTTCCAAGACGGCGATGTGGAGTTTGGCTCAGGAACGAGTCCTCCGGAGAGCAGTCAGCTGGAACAAGAAGCGGTCGCGTATAAGGGTATGGTCCGTGCTGTTCCTGTCTCCAGTTTCTGCACTGCGATAGGAAGAGGCCCAGCGAAAATGCACCAAAATGTGATCAATTTGTTGTACCGCTCGACCGTTATTCGAGTATCGAGTGAGTAGGTGTCATCTGAGGTACAGGAAACCGCTTTTGGACACGACCAAACGGTTAAGGTCAGAAAATCTGCCTAGGTGGTGGTGGCGCAGTGGTTCAGTCGCTATCACCGACGTGCTTTGGACCCTGTGGTCCGAGTCTCGCCACCGCAATCCAACTTTGGTGGTAGGCAGCTTTGCTGTCGCCCGGTTCCATACCACGCCCGAGATGGCGGAGCTTTATGTGGTTCACCACTCCAAGCCTCGGCGCTTAGTTTGCCAGGTACCATCACTGAACAGCAGGTCTTCGTGTCCGTCCCGACTGCTAATCAGCACACACTGATGCGTATGTTCGCCATTTTCGCAACTTTGATAAAAGTCAAACTTCCTCAGAACATGCTGAGTATGATCGTCTGATGGACTTATGCGTGCATTCCAGCCTCCTGAGATAAGGAGAATATCGCGTATCGGGGTGCGGTTAACTGCATCTTGAACTTGCTTATAGAAGTCGTTTTTGATGGTCACTTCCGCATATGACGTTGGGGCATAGACAGGGATGCCAAGTAGATCAAACGGTTTATCTCTGAAGAGTTATGCCAATCCTGGAAGAAATTGGTTTCCAGGAGGTCATGGCATTGTTGGCCCGGCCACTCATAGCGAATGCTACTCCGTACAAATCGGAGTTGTCAGTCGGGCCACTCTGGTATATCCGGTAGGTTGCGTCGTTGTGATACACTGATTTGTTTTATGCCACGATTAAGCAGTCGCACTCCAAACAGACCGCAGCCGTCCACTTTATAGTTGTACAGTGAACGCATTGTAATGCACTGACTTCCTACAACTGGCAATGTCCTAACATTCCAGTAAGCTACGTGGATGCTGGATCTGATGTACGGATGATTAAGGGTTCCAGCTTTCTCAATTGTTACCCCAGCCACTGTGGGAGCCTAGGGCGCGTCGCTTACCGAGAACGCCGTAGCATGAACGCGATGTAACATTGTAAGATGGTCCATGGAGAAACTTGGGAATGAGGTACTAAGTGACGTACCCAGCTTTGTTAGATGATGCATCTCTAACCCTCGCACAACCAAGTGCGACCTGCAGGGTAATAAGGTAGAACAGTTGGTAACCGGTGACCGTCAGAACGGTTCATATGCCTTTTGGATGGCTCAGCGCCAGCCCAGGATCCAAATGTGCCCGTGAGGTCTGACGAGCAGTATTTAGTGCTTATCTCACACTCCTCTCAAATTTTCAATATTACCTAGGTATGCATATTTTATAACCAAATGGTGTACACTTTATTTCGGTTGGCTCCGACAACGAAATAAACATGCCTCTTGGATAGCAGTTACTTACAGGATGACGAACGCGCATTAGCTGTAGGTCGAACGCGTGTAAACAGATGATTTTAATGCTGCTCATCGGCAGTTCCTGTCATCCCGACGAACACGATCAGGAGAAATGAATTGATCGGACTAAATGAAGGTTTTAAGCCAAAATCATCGATGCTACCATGAAACTTGAACAGTGGTCTCTTACGGTGGTGGTCAAGTCATTGACATAAGCACGTTTTGAGTTCTAAGGTTTGAGGTACAAATCCTGTCACCACCACTGTCACAAAAACTTAGCCTACCTCACTGTGCCAAATCTTCGAGCGTTAGTCTCCATAACAAGAAGTCCTCATGATAATGGACCACACCCCTTTAACAGTGAATCACAATGAGTAATAAGGGAAAAATCAGGAGCTGATGGAAAATGTTTCCGGTCGGTCTACAAAACTGAGAGAAATCAACACTATGCAGGGCTCTCGTGAAGTAGCCGATCTCTAGTGACAAACCAGGATCATGATGGTGTGTTTCGTGAAAATATTACTTCAACACGACTATATCCTGTTCCACGGATCATACTGATTCACAGAACATTCCGGAACAGGGTCTATAGTGGTGCCTCCAGTATCGTCCAGCTTGTTCATATAAGCTTCTACCTCTAGCTATTGTACATCCAATTGTGATCAGCAAAACAGCCGGGTTGTCCCAGGAAATCCGGTGGCCAGTAGTTTGATTCATTCGCCTATTCTGGAAAGATTTACAATCGGGTAGATTGGAATTAAACAACGGCGATGAGTTGATTAGTGACGGGTCACATTTGCTACTCCACAGTACTGATATCGAACTCTTGTTATAGATTACAAGGAGAATGCTTGTCGAGCGAAAACGCCACCACATCCTCAGTGATCCAATGAGCACGGGCCCGATTTGCCCATGGCTAACCACTAATTTCCCTCTCCACGACCTAGTGACGCGTCAGGTAGCTTGCAACTCTGCTTTGAGTCGGTTCCTACATCGATCATTTGGCACATATTAGTTGAGCAAGCCAATACGTCTGCATCCCATTCACCAAAGGATACAGGTTAATGATTAACAGCTGGTCAATCCATGCAATAGAAGAAAAGAATCAAACTAGTTTGGGCAATCTTATTTGAAACTTGGCCGATATAAGGAAACGTATAAAGCAAAATGTATGATGAAAAACAAGAATACAACATGAAGAAACAAGAACTGTCACATGGACTGGAGCAGCAGTAACCGGAGGAAACTGTCGGGAATACAACAAAAAGATGTAGTTGCGAATCCGAGGAATCTTAGAGGACGGCTACTCANTTTCGTTGCCTGTTCACAGGCGACCGGTTGGCAATCACAGACACACAAGAGAAACAGACGAGAACACAAACAATGGTATCACAGTCAACAATTCGTTCTTCGCAGTTTGGATATATGTGGACAAGACTGTTATCGCGAGCACGTGTTTCGTCAAATGACTAGAGACAAATTTACAGTAGGGGTTTAGAGGTATTTCTGATCAACCAGGTGTCTGTCCAGAGGAAACGATAGTTTCACAAAGCGCAACTTCCAGCTGGTTACACAGTGCCGTCCGAATACGATCCATCGGACAATAGACGGTTAGAATCAGCTGTCCTTCCCCAGTGGCGTTTGCTGACGCACCTACTATTTCGGCTGCACCTAGAGCTGATGTGGGACTGTGTGTGTTGTCGCCTTGGCAGTGCGATGGATTCCACGGAGCGCCTATCAATTGTATTTCAAACAAACAGGGATGGTTCTCGGAAATTGTTAAAGCATTGAACTGGAACAACAGGGACGACGACTCGGACCGATATCCATCCGGTGGAGCGGTATGACGACCCACCGGGCTCGACGTGGACGGATTGGGACAGAGAAAAGCACCACGATAATGCACGTTTGCGGCTTGAAGGACCGACTGGATCAGAATGCCTGGATCCGAAAAAGCAGAGCAGCTGTGACGATTGCACTTGACTGTTGATTGACTAATTGCGTTTGAATCCTTCAGCAAGACTACAAACAGATGGGCGATTTGTGGAAGGATGTGGTTTAGTTTTAAGCCACTTAAAAAAAATTACAGGGGTCTCGATGAATATGTACTTTTGAGCTGACAAGAGAAAAACTCAAAATAACCTGTAGTAAACAAGCAAAAAATTTGCTATTCCCCAATTTGACTGTTTTCTTCCTGTTCCTAAACCCATGGTTATTTTGGCGCCATATCTCTAAAGATTGGTGTTATATATACATATATATAATGCCTAGGAGAACTGCAGACAGAAGGTGAAGAAGTTACGCGATAAATGGTACTCACTGTGAATGACATCATACTCTTGGCGATTGTCCCTGGAATTTATGATAAGTAATCGAAGTATTTAGAGGGAAAAATCAATGGAATAGTTCCTTTATAAGGGCTTAGTGAACTCTTCTGTGTTATTTATTTTCTAGGGCCATCAATTTATCAACTGAAATAGTAAATCGTATTATTCATAATCAAGGTATATTAAAAAAAAGTAGAACATGAGATCGAATTATTGCGACGAGGTGAGAGGGCGTAGTTCAATCAGACCAGAATGGTACGGATAAAGAAAACGAAACACTGACACAATTATCACCTAGTATTTGCGATTCACTCAACAAAAGGGGACTAGTTTAACCTGACACCATCTGCGAGATGGCGGTTCGTACGCCCAGCGGAGCAAGCAGCTTTGATCATCCTATTCACCGATTTCAAAGGGATTCAATCTAGCATGAGGAGTGGAACAGGTGGAATAGATGTTTGAAGTATTCTATGTTGATCTTCCCTGTATTCCGTTTGTGAAAACGTCGGGAGCCTTAATCGCATTTAAACTGATGCATGGACATTAACAATAATCACTACAAACGTAAGTGGCTCCGGAACCCACAGTTACATCTGCTTCAGCGGAAAAGGGAGTCCAGTGAGATATTACTCACGTTGTGAGTAGTTGGCTAAAAACTCTGATTCCGAAATAACCAAGAGGCTTACGAACCACGCTCATCCACATCTTTCTGGTTGTGGCAGTGGTCACCAGCTCAATTTGGTATCGAGGCGTATTGGGCACCTTGGACGTTTGACCCCACCCGAAAGGCGTATGATCCGATAACCAAAACACTGACCTCCAATGGACTGCGGTTCTCACACACCGCCCCGCTGTCCTGCGGGTCAGGCTTCGGCTAGCCGAAGGCCCCGATTGTGAATTCCGCAAGAAAATTCACCTGCTTCTGGTTGGAAAATTTAGCAATATCGCACGCTCGAGAAAATCATGGACCGTTTTCTTTTTACAAAGATCATTGTACTGTGATTTGTTTGGTACATAGTCTGCCCTCCGAAGCCTGTGATATATATACACCACATTCGGTAGTGTTTTGTTTCTGTATTCTCTACCAAGCTCATGGCCATTTTCATTTTACAAAAAAATGAGAAACCCAAGTGAAGGGATTGCGTGGATCTATAGGGGAAAATGATTGACTTTAATAGTATTTTGCGAACTAAAGACCAAAAATGAACAGTAATCTACACTGGAACCGCCTAAAATACTCTCGGCATATCACAGGCAAGCGAATGCAACGCAATCAACCGTGAAACAACAAGCAGAGCCCACTGACATTGGATTCCCCTTGAATGAGACGAAGGATTCTCGTTAACTGGAATTGAAAAAATAAACCATAAAATAGAACTTGAAGCATAAAAACATGCATTGGTGTGTACATCATCTATATTGGAAAAAAATTTGTGAAATGGTTTGGGCTGGAATGGAACAAGACTAGAGAGATATAGATTATCTCACCTTTTACTTTGGAGTACTCCAAGTCATTCATCAGTGTGTTTGGTCGAATTAGTTCGCCCGGTGGTGGGGCAATTGAGAGGGGCAAACTGACCATGTTATCGGAGCGTTTTGAGCCCAAGTGATAGACTAAGTTGATATCTATAGAGTCGAAAAATCCGGCGAAATCAATTCCCAGCGTGCAACAATATTCGGACTGAGCGGACAGACATTCTGAGATAGTGTTGTGACCGAGACAAGGGAGGGGGAGAGGGAAAATGTCACATCCAACAGGACCTTTATTCATGCGATTGGTTAAATTGTGAATGAACTTTAGGTCGGGTTATGACAAATGCCAGCTGTCTTGATAAGAGATGATAAACACCAGCAAGAAAATGCAGTGCTACCTCATTATTGTCGACTTTACCGGGATAAAAAGTGCTAATTTAGTACAGTTTCCTTTATGTCAACTTATTTGCTGACTTTAGCATATTGCTTTTTTAATAAAACAGTGGAAAGAGTCAATCTCATAATCACCAGCACCTCTACTGGTCATTTATGGGAATCGGAAACATAAGTTGCAGAATGGGGTGGTGATGGAGCAGTAGTTCAGTTACTGTCATCGGTACGCTTTGGTCCGAGATTACAGCCCCACCACCACTACCCGATTTTGATGGTAGGCAGCTTTGCTGTTGTCCGGTTCAATACCGCGTCTAGTCTAGCAAGACCTTATGTGCCACTCTAAGTTCTAGGGTTGAGGTTTACAGTTTTCATCGCTGAACGGCAGCTTTTCGTCATGTCCATCCTGCCTGTTGTTCATCACAAAAGTGTGTAATTAAAAAATATAGAAAATCTGAGTTGTTGAGCGACATAAGTCATGTACAGAATAATCGCGGTATTGATCGGGGTAAAATTAAAGTTATTTACTGCTAAAGCAGGGTTCGAAACACGCATCCTGGAGCCCAGACCACCGCTTTCCGTCACAAGCTTGAAGGAGATGAATTTCGCACAAATACTGTATGATAACATGATAGGAGGGAGAAAATACATGATGACACGGATATACTGCGCGGCGATGGCAAAAATTTACCTAAACACTGTAGTTGGGATTAAGCAAGCTAATAAACAAAGCGTTGGTTATTCATGTCGCTGGATAGTCTTCCTCGGAGTACAGCGCTCACTCAGAGAATAAGTCCATACATTGTAAAAAAAGTTGATCGATGGACTGAATTCTATCGGTCCAATCCCGTTTACTGTGCATGCTGAATGAATATATCAAACAATAAAGCTGTGCCATTAGTGCTACTCCCTTTTCTCATACTATCCTACACATTTGAACTGTTTAATCAATATTTGTAGAACAATTAATACGCTAGAAACCAAGACCGTAAGATCAGAAGCTACGAGAGATGATATCTGGTGAACAACACCCGACAGTGAGTTGGCACTAGTGGCAACACCAATCCCAAATATTAACACCAACTTTATCGCATATCAATTTATTTTAACAACTCCCCCCCCCCACACACAAAAAAAAAAATAAAGATATAAAGTTTGAATGACACAGAGCACATACCGATTGGATCAAAGGGTTCAATACGGTTCGCATCCAACAGCAAACGCCCAATAACGGTGCTTCTCAAATCCAGATGCACATCGGTTAGACTAAGCGAACTGTCCTCACTGAGGACCTTGAACTTTAGCATGAGCACGACCAGATTCGAATTGGATTTGTGCACGATACGAGTGAACTGGTACTGTAAGTGCAAATGCGAATCGACCGGAACGGGACGTTCAAACCAGCGCAGACTATCGCAATTCGCTTCCCAGT